CCTTCGTGACCGTCAGTATGCAGAACATCAGTACCAGAGATCAGACAATCTTATTGCTGCTTGGTGCCGAATGCATTCACTGGTTTAAGTGGCTTCGTTGTGGTCATTCCGCATGTTCCTTTCACGATTCGAGCTTGCCATGCTGTTACGGCGGGATCTGTGGCACCTGGGATGCCCGAGGCTGAATTCTGAGGAGTTCAACCAGCGCTTGCAGCACTTCCGTGATATTTACAAGGTGCCGAGGGCAACCCTAAGCCTAAACCTCTCTGCAGTGACTGTTTCAAGCGGAATTCATAGGGCTACTGACATTGTGGTGCCCCTGAAGCTTTGTAGCAATGCTTGGCTAGTTCGACGAGGTGATTCTTATGGTGACATAGTTTTTTTTTCTCTCTCTCTCTCTCTCTCTCTCTGATGTATTAGTCTGTTACTTTCGCGATCTTAGCTTCGTCGTTGAGATCGCAGGCGGAGTGGAGTGAACGTGCCAGGAGCAATGCCCCTTACTGTAGCAGGCTGGCCCCCGGAGTGCACTCTTTGCTTATATCATCTTTTATCCCGTCATCTTTGTGTCCCTTTGATACTGAGCCTCCTTATGGATGTTGAGTTTGCGAGTATCTGCAGGGCTAGCACGATGTGTGGAGCCTTGCGTGCCGCGTGCGAGAGTGAGAGACGAAACCCCAAAATTTGACGGAGACAGCGCAGTCGTCATCGGCTTGTCCCGGACCAGATCATGTTCATGCCATGGTTCTAGGTTTTAAATCGGGCTGTACGCTTTACCTTTAGGCAGGGCCCTCAGTCATCCCTTTCATGGCAACTATTGAGCTACATTGCTTGACAAGAACCCAGTCTTTAGGTTCTAGGACCCAGAGCAGGCCCTTATTCCCTTTTTTAGGGTTCAGGTTCCCTTATAACCCCCTTTAAACCAAAAAGGGCAGCTTTTCCTAGGTTACTCTTGGGTCTAGGGTTTGTTCCAGCTCAGCTCCGAAGTGAAAGCCAGAAGCCCCCAGCCCCACCCGGCCGCCGCCCGGAGAGTCCGACACAAATACCGATACCCTCCTTGCATAGAGTTTATAGGGCCTAAGTTTAGGGTTTAAAGCCCAAGTAGAGTTTAGGGCTTAGGATTTAAAAACCCAAAGAGCCTCTCCAACAAAAAATCAAGAGCGCGTTCCACAAACAATCCGGGCAGACCGTCTTCACGGATCACCACAGCCTGGAAGACTTGCCCCTAGCCGCAGCCTGGCAGCCAGAAGCAAGGTGGGTTCAGGGTTTTAGGGCGAGGTTACTGACCACTGTGAGTGTGTAGCCACGAGTGCCACAGCATTCGCCGTTCCCCGGCAAGACTTCAAGAGGCCTGGATCCAAAAAAGGGCGAGGTTGCTTCGGTACCGTGGTGGTGTTGAATTGAACTGAGTATTGCTAGTGGTATCAGCTGCCATTTGTTCTCAAGATGGTAGGCCAGTATCGCAATGGTGAAGTATTAGGGAGGTTCCATCGGCTAAGATCTCTCACAGGGTTCAGCACGGTATTACAACTAGCTTCGTTTGAGCAGGGGGAAATCTGCCGCGTCCTTCTTGGGCAGAATTGTGGTATCTCACCCATATTATATGTAAGTTAAAACATATGTATACTATATATATATATATATACACATACTATATATACCAGACATAGTATGTATAGTATATATACTATATACATGTTTCGATATCAAGCCTCGCTGAACTCCCCATGAACACCCAACAGACGACCCGCAGTCAGTCTCTAAAGCCTACAACGAAGAGAGGAGGGGCGTGTAGTGGAATTCTACTATACTATACTACACTCTGCTATCCCATATTATTCTATTTTGTCCAAAACTATACTCTACTATCCCATATCTTTATACTATATCATCCGAAGCTATACTCTACTATCCTATATGACTATATTATATTGTTTTAATCTATCCAAAGCTAGATTACAATACTAAGAAGTCGTATAAGGAGCGAGAGTGCTGGGGCCGGCTGCCTCCTTGGATGGCAGCAGAGCTGGACCAAGAGCTGGAGCAGGCGAGTTCCGGGCAATTTTGGGGTTTAGGGTTGAGCGGGCTTCCGATTTCAATCTGGCGGCGCTGCCCAGATTTGGTTTGGCAGTGCTGCTTCCCAGCTGACCGGCAGAGTCTGGGTTCAACACTGGCAGTCATCAGGTCCGGTTTCAATAGGGGTGCCGAAGGTCACCAGCACCCGGCCAGCTGGGTTTTTTGCGACGTGATGGAAGCGCAAGAAGCGAGTGTGAGCATCTGGCATCTTTGAGCAAGCGAAACTTGTGCGCAGGAAGTGCAGCTTGAGCAGGAGATTGCCATTAGAAAACAGCTCTCCAAGGCAGGACGGGACATTGTCTAGCGGGACCCGATGACTCCAAGCCAAGAACTGACATATTTGGGTTGAGCAGTTACGGCATGCCAACAAAGCTATATAGCGGTGCACAGCGGTAGGTCGAAACTGTTGCGAAACTCCAGACGACTCGGAGTTCAGCTAAACTTTGCACTCAGACGGCTGCCGTCAGAAGCAAGCTGTGAGAGTCGATGCCCCATTAACCATTTTCGAAAGGGAAGGTCCAAATATCAATCCTTGATCCCTAGCTGGCATACACTTAACAACGGAGGTCGAAACCCTCAACTAAACTCGGTGGTTGCAAGGCTTCGCCACCACAGGGAGGTTCGCTTCAATGGTGTGCCGTTCCAATATGGCATATGACGGTATCTTGTGGTATGTTATGGATGGTTCTGTACATCATTGCATATTACGGTGTTCTTGTTTGTGAACGTTCTGTAGGTATGCCTGACATCGTCATGCGCCCTTGAAGCTTGATGCCTAATGGCCTCCTGCAATGGCTCAACCACAATCTTGGTCGTAGTACATACAAGTAGTGGCCCAAATGAGGCAGTGATGCCCCGGAAAACAATGAGAAGTTTTAGAAAGAAGAAGGAAGAAACATATGAAGTCATAGTGACGGAAGTCCCAGGGCCACGAGAAGTCCGAGAACGAAGCCTTGCTGGAGGAGCCTCGGTGTCAAGTCCTTTCCGGACAGGTTGAGAAGTTTGGGGCTTCAGGGTTTACTTGCATCTCGGAGCTGACTCTTGCTTAGGCACTTGTTGAGCTGGATGCCTTGCTCATGCACACAATGAGCATTTTGGACAGAAGCCGCTCAGCTTCCGAACGCAAGCCCGCCAGCTCCACTAAACCCAAATTCCCAAACCCCTGCAGTAGAACATTCAACCCTAAACCTCTTCTCGGATCCTCGCCTGCTTGACTAGTTGTGAGTGCTGAAACCTCTTGTGGGTACAGATCCTGTCTAGGGATTCACTCACTCGTAGGCAGACCTCGCCTAGCATTGCTGAGTGTGAGCGTCAAAAAGCCATGAACCGCTGTCAGGAGCAACTGGCCTGTATGCAGCAGCTGCTGGATGCTAAGGCAGTGTAGAAGCTAATGGACGATACTGGGGCTACAGGGTGCTGTTCATGCTTCAGCCATGGCACTTGGCGCAAGATTCCGCCTGCCAGTCTCTGCTCAGATCAGAAAGGCAATTTCGATGGCGATGTGAAGGGCGGTGGTAGTGCCGATCTGCAGAAGGAGTTTGCCCTGTGCAAAAGAAACCCTTGCACCATTTCACAATCGCCCATAAAGCCGTCACCCACCCTAAGCCCAGCCCAAGGTCCCTAAGCCCTACCTTAACCCTGAAGAACCTACCTTTTTAAGGACTTATATAAGGAAATCATAATAGGGAACCCTAAAAAGGTAGGTTCTTCAGGGTTAAGGTAAACAAGAGCCTATCATTGTTCGCCAAAGACTTAGAACATGCCAGGATCGGCGAATCCAGTCGCTGGAGTTGGCTGCCGAAGCCCAGGTGGGGGGCTCTGACAATGTCTGCTTTTTTGTCTTCCGTTTATTTAAGATTACTTAGGGGTTTACACGGTTGAACAAGATGTGAAGATGCTATTCGGGGCTTTGCCTTTGATAGGGGTTTACAGAGAGAGCTCTTTCAAGGGGAGATTTCAAGATCTACTGGCTCTTCTCGCAAACGGCATCGTAGATGGAAATGTTTTTCACACGATCCTCCACACAAGTTCAAGCCCGCAAAAGCTTGAATTCCGGTCGGGTCCCATGTCGCGCCTCTCGCTGGAATCAGAACCGCCATTTCGGAGACCAATCATTTTGGGTAAGGTTTCGTTCGTGTGAGGGGTGCAGTGAAGGAAGCCGTGCGCAAAGAACGAAACGATGAATACTCTGGCATGTGACAGAGCTTCTGACAATCCTTCCTATTAGGGTGTTTTTTTGCATCCCAGGTTCCCCTGCGACGGAAACGTTGCCATACGACTCAACAGCTAAGTGACTCAACTTAGTTTCTCCACATCCCCACCGTAGATAAAGGGCATAGCCTGCCCTCAAACCCTCGCTTAGCATTGGGTTCGGATTTCTGCATTCAGCGAAGCTAGTTTGAGCAGAAAGCCCAGTGGGCTTCGGCTGATCGTTTCTGCTAGTGGGCACATTTGCTTCCGGCGTCCTCAGGCCTTGTGGCAGTCTCTTTGCCTCACCTACTTTGCCGCAGTTGGTATTTGAGGGGGTGTCGCTCATCACTTCTTTTCTCATTAACGTTAGAGTTTGGTTGTGATGCTCTTTTCGGTACTTCTGTATGCGATCACCGAAACACCCCCAGTCCTGCAGCCGCATCACCTTTTGAGCTGAGAGCTAAGTCAAGCTCTCGGAGAACACTGAGCAAGCATGGAGTTGAGACTTGTTCCAGGCTGCTGGTTAGAGGTGTAGCGGAACGGTTTCGGACGTCAGCATGTAAGCGTCTTCAACGCTACGGCTCAAGCATTTCCGCTTCTAACATACACGCTGCACGGATCATGTCCACGACATGAAAAACGATTTCGAAGAGAACACGTCACCAGAAATACCCATACTTTCATTTCCTTCCTGGTGGTTGGTTCGACGCTTTGTTTCCTGCTGCACTCGACGAAGCATGGTGCTGGACTTTTGTCCCGAATTCTACGTCAGCGGCAAAGAGAACCTCCTTTGGCAGCCAGAGAATGAGGAGCATCAGAGGCGTCGTTGGCTGGCACCCAAGGTCGATAAAGCACCCAAGCCCGTTTCAAAGGTGCCCAAGGCCGTCCCAGCTGCAGTTCCAGGAATGGCCTCGACCTGTGCCCCATTCGCCCTGACCTCGGAGCATGCCCATCGCACAACACAGCCGGCAACCATGGCCTCGTATGTGGTCGGCCAGACATCCCCCGGACGCGAGCTTTCCAAGACCTATGCAACTGCTCGCAGCCTCGCAGGCTTCCGTCAAGTTCCTGCAACCCACACATTGTTGGTCCCAGCTGTATCGGTTCTCGACCGGAGCCGTGTCCCGGCATTCACCCGCACCATCCAGCAACCCGCTGTTCCCATGAAGCAGGTCCACCAAACGGCACCGCGTGTCGCCATGCGGGTGATCCAGCCGGCGTTCTACATGCCCGTTCAGGCACAAGCTGCCCCACAAGTCGCGTATCCAGTGTCGCGCGAGACGTCCTTCCTCGGCTACAAGTACCATCCCATGGCATGCCCGGTCTACTACGTGAACAACCGCATCCTACCCCGGAGTGTGATCGTGCGTGCTTAGGCTTTCGCAATGCCTCCTGAAAGGGCTCCGGCAGAGGATTGAAGTTAACTGACTCTCACGATTCAACCCTACAAGCCCTCAACCCAGAAAGTCGCCAACCCGACAGGTTCATCAAGAGCACATTATCTGATTTTTTTTAAGGCTGATGGGCTTTCATACGGTCATACGGCAGGAAAATGCCTCAGCCGGGGGCCCACTCGCTGTACCCATCGCCGAAAGAGGCATGGGCTTCTAGGATCTTCTAAGCTCCCCAGTAGTAGAGTTTAGGAGACCCTGATACCGTAACTTTTCAATTTTCGGTGACCCCTTTTTATCAAAGGCTTACTGGGGAGCCTTCTGGATTTCAAACAGCATACCACCGATACTGCTTTCCTTTCACAGCTTAATAGCGGTGTGCCTATGAGCCCGCTGGAATTGCATGCTTGGTTCATGCCATAAAAAACAGTCGGCTAGTGCAATGGTCGAGAGCGAGTGCTACCGGCTACCGTTAACAGAGCTTGTTCAAGAAAAGCAGATTCGCTGAGTAAGTAACCCCAAACCCTAACCAAATCCTTGCCATGTAGGAGGGAAAGAACCCTAAACACAACAGATTCGCTGAGTAAGTGACAGGTGGGATCCTCCTACGGGAAGTCGCCGAGGCGTGCCAACGAACGTCGGCACTCCACGCCATCCTTGGGCACCTCTTCTAGAAGAAGGCGTTCAAGGTTTCGATCTGTCTAGGATTTTGTGGTTTAGGGCTTTAGGTTTGTTTTAGCAGGATGAGGGAATCGGGGGTTTGGGGTTCAGTTATTCTCGGCGCCACTGATCAGTTGAATCTCCAGCGAGCCCAGTTCCCGAAACGTTTTTCTGGGAGGATCGCCATGGTTTTATCGCCGGATGAAGCGACCTCGGAAATCCTGGGAATTTCGATACGATTGCGGCAAGCAAAACAGGGAAACATAGCACTTCCTGAATCCCCAGAGCCTAAAGCCATCAACAGCTCTATACCCTATGACCGAATGTGGAGTCGACAATTATGCCGTATGCTAGTGCACGCGCACACCCTTTGGCTGGCTCAGTGTAGCATCGGCTCTGTCTTTCGATGGTGGTCGACACATACACGTGCAGACGTAGCGTCCAGGTTTCACCCCAAAACTAAAGCCCTTAACGATTAGAACCTGAGCCCTTCAGACCGGCGTCGCTAAAACTTCCAAAGCGGTTACGCCTTTGAGAAATGGGTTCGAGAACCTTCAGAGCCTTCCTCCTCGCCAAGGTGCACAGAAGCCGGAGGCACCATCGATTCACTACATGCTTTTGTTAGTGTCCTTGGGGTTTCATGCATGGCAGGTAGGGCGGTGGTGTGTCTTCAGTCTTGAGGTCTTTTTTTTGGAGACCCTTGTGGCTTGGCTGTGGCATTGCATAACTGATCGCGAAGAACTACGTGTCTCGACAGAAGCATGAGAAGAGCGCTCTGGCTGTTCAGTTCACTGAACAAGACCAGGTCTTCTCAAGCTACGGCGAAGGCGTTTAGGATGTATATGTACGCATACGGCTGAACATTGACGTCCGTTTGCTGGCTTCAGGAAGCAAGTAGTATGGGGTCTGAATAGAATCCTTATAGTGCGTCATGACGTTGTAAGATATTGTAAGGCCGTCAGAAAAACGCCCTGAAGGAACTATTCAACCCTTCAAGGAATTAATTGCTATGGGGGCCTCAACACTTCCCGATACTATTTTAGGGGTTCCTTATTATACTTATAGTGTAAACCCCCAAAACCCTTTTGTTGATTATTAACGGCCCTATATTACCTGAGGCCCCTCATTCGTTGACCCAGCTGCCAGGCTCCAGCTACCCGCCGCCAGGCTCATCGAGACCTCATGAGACTCCCGGCACAGAAAGGGGTCCGAAGCAAGGGCCCATAGGTAGAGTTCAGGGCCTCGTGTTTAGGATTCAAGGTTTCGAGTTCTGTCACTTTCCCCGCCGACTTCCCAAGTCCGGATGCAACAAGGTTTCGGCGCGGTCCAACGGAATCAAGCCCCTCGGAAGACGAAGCCCGAAGATCTGAGACCCACCGCCTGCAAGGTCGGGTGCAGGAGTTGATCCGCAGCGGTCACGAAAGGCAGGAGGTGAAGAACAAGATGTTGGAGAGGCGTCTTTGGGAGGGAGGGGTTGCACTGTTAACACCTTCGGACATCAGCATCAGACATGTAGACGTTGCAGAGGAAAGCTTGCAAGAGGTGTGGTCCGATGCGGCAGATCGCTGTAAGAACTCGAGGTTGAAGTCTTTGTTCTACCCGAAACCCTAAGCCCTTGTGCTTCTCTGGAAATGGGCCATACATGAACCCGACCGGTAGTGCTGTACCTGCACCTCTGGCAGTGACCGAGTTGCGAGAGCGGGAAACCTTACTTGGAGGATCAGGAAGGTTGCCGCAATTGGAGTTATAAGTGATTGTAAGGTTTCAGAGCCTAGTTGCAAAGTCACATGATCCTCTAAGTAAATTGTTTTCTTTTTTCGGACTTCCCTGGTTTACACTGCGCCAGGCATTTCCAGGAGCTGGAGAGCTGTGGCTCCAGCTGCCTTGATAAGCTCAAGAGCCTGCGAAATGAGGCGCACGGTTCCTTCTGGTTGAAACCTGAAAGTGTAGCTTTTCATAAAGCCTGAGTAGCCCTTCACAACCCTCAGTAGCACCTCAAAGACCTGAAGTAGCCATCTCAAGAAAAGTAGCCATTCAGAAGCCTTCAATCCTGAGTAGCCCTTCGAAGTCGGCGATTTCCTCCCGAGGTGCGCAGCGAGGTCGAGTCCCGGCAAGATGCAGAGACGAAGGCACGAGGGAGCGGCCACCATCCAGAGCCATGTACGATGAGATGCCTTTCAAGTAACTCTGGTCGGGACATAGCCATGTACCACTCACATATGCAGTCAGATCTCACATATCATGTGTATACACGTGTATACAGTTACAGAAGAGGACGCTCCTCCCTACAGTTACACTTACACACACACACACACCTGCACACGCACACACGTACATGCACATGGCAGAAGAAGATGCTGCGCAGAGGGGTGTCTCGAACAGTTATTTCTCCAACACAAATGCACATGTAGTGTTCTACGCCAGGCGCAGGTCCTTGAAGACGCTTGGCCTCATCCTTGGGTGTTTTGGGGGTGCCTTTTGTTTTGTAAAATGTGGTTTTGCTGAACCCTAGGTAGGAGCCAAAAAACCCTGAACACCGAAACCTAACCCCTGTTGCATCACGATCATTTGTGTTGCTCCTATGAGACATGGAGAAGGGTTTTGACAGATTATAAAACAACCTTTAGCCATCATCGCGTTACAAAGAAAGCGTATGGGGCTGGAATAATTTCCGACAGGAATCCTTTCTATAAACCATGCATTTTATAATCCATAGACTGTATGCTATCGTATACTCTAAACGCCTGTTCTACGCATTCAGGCTGCTATTGAATTCGATTGTATGCAGTATGTGCAGTATGCGTGTTTTGCCCACCCTTTCGCTGCTATACATCCAAGGAGGAGCTACGTCGCTTCCGCAGTGAGCTGGAAGGCAGCCGGTCCGTGCTAAACGCACAGTTCTCGGCATCTCGGCTCAAAGGGTTCTGGGTATGTTGGACTATAGAAGTCCACCGTAAATACATTCCGCATAGTTCTAGTCAGTATAGTGAGAAGATTTAGTATAGCTATTATCGTATGTTATAGTCCAAGCCGGAACTGACAAGGTTAGCCAGGTCAAGTGCACCAAAGGCGAAACAGCACTGGTGCAAGGTGCAAGCTTCCTGTCCATTCGGCATTCGAGGTACTAGCATTATTGCTAACTTTGTTAGTATTATGAGTTGCATTATGAGTAGTATGATTACTATCACTACTACTATCATTACTGATATTTTGATTCTTTTTAATAGTTAATACAACTATAAGTCCCCTTTTAAATTATGTTGTTTCCCCAGGCCAACCAGCAGCTCTTGAGCAATGAGTGCGATGCGGCCACAAGTTTGCTGCTTCGCGCCACGGAGCAGCTGCACAGCGCCAGCTCCGGTTCATGAATCTCTCCCGCCTTTCCTTGTGTCTTTGCTTTTCCTTTTCTTGTATTTGTTATATATACACATGTATATGAGCTAGATAGTTCTCTCTCTCTCTCTCTCCTTTGCATTGTGCTTGCAGCCGAACATGACTGAAACACCAACACACCAACCTGCCCTCTGCGGGGGTGTACAAAGTTTGCACTTCCCGTTGGCCCTGCGTGTCCTTCGGTCGCAGTGTCATCGCTTTAAGGTTCAGCCTTCTGGAAGCATGGGCAAGGCCATTGAAAACACGTCCGTGACATCACAGAGAGAACCCTTGCCTGAGGCAGCTGTCTGCTCCCGAAGAGTCAGGGAACATGCGCACGATTCCCGCAGCTGTTGCGGCCGCCAGCTCCAATTTGTGCATGAACTGAGAAGATCAGTCCTGGGTAGTTAGTCGAACTGCCCCTGGGGCTGACATTGCCCGGTGGCAAAAGGCCCAGGCCATGACTACTACGAGTACCCTCACCAGCATGGTAAACCAAGAGCTGAACGGCTTCGTCAACGCAACAGTTGCTAGGTCGCTTCAGAAGTCCGCTAAAGCCCTTAAACCCCAAGCCCTATAGACTTCCTAAACCTATAGACCATGAACACCAAAGAACCGGACTTGAGCCAAGGTAACATTTCGAGTTCGAGCTGAGACAAATTTGGGGGATCATGTCTACCTCGTGGGAAGCGGGGCCGCCCTGGGGTCTTGGAAGCCACAGGCAGGCATCGCGCTCCGCACACATGAGGAGGCCTACCCTCTCTGGTGGACGACGATCCAGATCCCCCTAGACAGCCGACTGAAACAGAGCATCATGATGGAGTACAAGTTCGTGATCCGCCGCAATGAGGGGCAGATGGACTGGGAAGATGGCGCAAATCGAGTACTTCCGCTCTCCTTGAGACCCGATGGAAACTTGGAGAGCACTCCCCCAGAGATGGCCGTCTTCGGCGAAAATCGTGATGAGAGGCTACAGTCCCCTACCCTAGTCCCTGTCATGACGACGAGCACCTGCTTGGCGGACCTGAACTCTGATAGCCCTGATGATATGTCTCAGTCTTCTTCCGACAGCTCACCTCAACCTGTCAAAGTGGCAAGTTCGACTCCGAAAGCGAAAGCAAAAAGTTCTCCATACAGTCCCTTCAATCCAATTGCAAGACCTTCACCCAGACCTTCAACGAGACCTTCACCTACGCCTTCCTCCGTGGAAAATTCACCAACGCCTCTCAAAATTGTGAGGGTGCCCAGCAAGCCGGTGAGCCGGCCCAAGCCCAAGAAGAGCCCCTCCGTTGAGGTGGACAACCAAGTTGCTAGCAAGGGAAAGTCTCCCCAAGCTCCAGTGGCGAAGTCGCCACAACCTGCCCCAGTGGCAAAGTCACCGACGGCTACTTGGCAGCCAGAAGTAAGGTGGGACGTTTTGTTTCTAAAAAAGGTAGCGAGCCTTTCCGCGTCCGATCGGAAGCTGAACAAGTAAGGTTGAGGAAGTGGCGAAGCCACCGCAAGACAAGAAGGAGACATCGGCCCAAGTCGTCAAAGAAACGCCGCCAGCTGTCAAAACCGAGCGACCACCCCAAGTTGCCAAAGTGGAAAGTGTTCCAGAGCCTATCAAAGTGACCAGCTCCCTTGAGGATGTGCCTTGGCTGCTCTTGTGCAGGACATCTGTTTTGGAATTGTGGTTTGCTCGGAGAAAAGAAGCCCACACACAGTCACATCCAGTCAGACCAAGGTATAGTTATCTCGAGAAACCACATGAGACGTAGTACAGTCATGTGGTTACAGGCAATAACATCAGTCATGTAAGAATATAGACAGTGCCTGCAGAAGCACTTTAAAATTCAAACTGATGCGGTGTCTGCAGCGACAGCACGGCGACGATGTGCGACTTCGTCGGAACCCTTGGGCAGCTCAGGTGAAAGTGGAAAGTGCTAAGATCATTCCCGTCAGCCCGCAGGCCTGGCCCGGACAGACGGAAAGTTTCAGGTTCGCGCACCTTGAGGCAAGGTTCTTTGTTGGCGTGCATGTGCAAAGTAACGCAGATCGCGAGATCCGGGGCTGCCTGCGGTGGGGTATATACTGCACTTACCGCCCAAGGGTGATTTTACAAGTCCCTCGGTTTGCCCGGACTCGGAGTGCACAGGCAAGGAAGTCCAATTCTGAAAGTTCAACTCCTGGACACATCTCATTCTTGCCGATGTCTGATCATCATAGTCTTCGTCGCTCCGTCCTCATCCCCATCCGTAGCTGCAGATGCTGCTCCGGCTACTGCTACTGCTAATGCTGCCGTTACTGCCATCACGACTACGACGGCGACAACGACTTACTACTCCTGCTGCTGCTTCTGCGGCTGCTGCTGCTGCGACCACGACGACGACGACGGCTGCTACGACTGCGGCTTCGACTGCTGCTACTGCCATTGCCAGAGCTGAAAGCAGGCGCTCAAGCCTCAGTCCATCAAGCCCACCAACCCGCGTTACTTCTTCAATGCCGGAGCCCATCGTCTTGCAAAGCCAGCTGGGCGCTGTGAAGATGCCCTGTGGCTGCACTTTTTCACACCACTCCCTTGTGGTACTGCCGTAAAAAATACATAGATGTATATGTGTATATAACATGTCAGTACTAATGGTTCATAATCAGAATACTAACAATATAATCATGATACTTACAAGAATGACGCTGGCTGCGGTGGTTCGATAAAATTAGGAGTGCAGTCGCGCAAGTGGGTTTGGAACACAAAGTTCACGCAGTATCTCGATTGAAGCCGCCTCACAAGGCCTTCTTTTTCAGCACGAACGCAGCCGGTGTCGCAGATGGGGTGGGCCAGATGGAACAATTCAAAGAGTACGGAGTGGACGCCGCCGCCTACTCCGACGAGCTCATGCGTCTTTGCGCAGAATATATGCACGAGCAGCTTAGTTGCATTAGTTCGAATTGCACTGGGCTCCTTCCGAGCTTGTTGCTGCACCCGTACTTGACTAAGCTTGAAGAAGAGTGGACTGTCGTGCATGACCTGCTGGCAGCACGCATCGCAAGACAGCCCGCCAAAGCTTGCTTATCGAATCTGTCAGTGTGGAAGGGCTGTAGAAGTTCTGAAAGTTATCGCCTGTTGAGCGTTGTTCTGATAGACCGTCGCATCTTCCTTCCCAAGGGTCCAGTGTCACATACGCCCCCAGTAAGCAATGAGCGATACCGTACATGTTCGCGGAGAGGTGTGGGGTCGTGCTATTCGTTCTGCCCCTGTGCCACGTTGTGCCCTTCTTCGCATCATGGTAGCGTCGTGGCGTCCTGATGTTGTTTCTCGCGTCATGCCTCAGGCTTGGCATTGTCAGGCCTTGGCTGAGTTTGGTTGAAAGGCCGGGGGATCGGAGAGAGACTGTGAAACGAGATCCAGGTGATGATGATGATGCTCGCTCTGCGAAATCCGTCCAATCATCGGGTCGAACTGCTATGCCTGCTGTGGTTTCAAAGGCCATAGCAGAGGAGATTACAGTTGTTGTAAGGAAATCAAGCTGATGCTGATGCTGCTCGCTCGCTGCTTCGTTAAGTCCGTTCGCTTCGTTAAGTCCGTTCAATCATTGGGTCGAACTGCTATCCCTTGTCTGGGTTCAAAAGACAGCACATCGGAGAGGGAGCGTGAACGGAAATCCAGCTGATGCTGATGATGCTCGCTTTGGGGTTCGCTAAATCCGTCCAATCATTGGGTCGAACTGCCATCCTTTGTTTCAGTTCAGCGGACGGTATCCCCATGTATCTTCTGTCGCCGGTCATGCTTATGCCTCCTTCATTTGCCCGCCTAGCTGCATGGAGAGAACAGGGGCCCCCCAGAAAAACTAAAACCAGCTCCGCACTAAACCCTAAAGCCCTAAAACCCCAAACCCTATAAGCCCTAAAGCCCTAAAAAAGGAATCCTACGGGCAGCCCAGCCGCCGCTTTGGCCTCGGCCGAGCAGGGCGCAAAGTCTTTTGGCGCCAGCACGGCCTTGGTCATGACCCTGGAAGGCGTTTTGGGATCTATATGGCTTATATAGGATGCTAAACATGAGCCCCTAAAAGGAACTACTATGGCGCCTAGGGGTAGGGCATCGGATTCAGATTTGAAGCTTCGGCGAGTGTCCCTTGGGTTGCGGGTCGAAGATGCCCTGCGGCCCACGCTGCGGATGGCTCCAAGAGAGCTTCAAATTATTTAGAGTTATTAGCAACGCTTTTAATATTCATAGATGGACTGCATGATTCGATTGGGATCTTCGACCGGCGATGGGAGGGCAGTGAGCACGACGGCCTGTCACAGATGGCCGGCGTCCCGAACGGCTTATAGCATGAACCTGAGACCCTGAGAAGTAATTAGGATCCTCACTGTAAGGGCAAGAAGGCCCACCCGTCACCGGGTCACCGGTCCGAACTATACCAAGCCCTTGTGGCGACGCTGCCAGGCCAGATCGTTCGCGTGGCCAACTTAGGAGACAGCGGCTTCATGCACCTAGGCGGAGCAGTGGAATGCTTTATAGTTTTGTGGTAGGATCTGGAATCTCTGCATGTTGTATATTCCTGAAAAGTTGCTTAGAGCTTAGACCTCTAAAAACTAAAACCCAGAACCATAAGCCTAAACCTGCACCCTAGACCCGTCAACCCAGGCACCTCCGATCCAAAGATTGGGGGATGGAAATCGTCCAGAGCCTTGTCCGCTCCATACCGGATTCCTAAGAAGAGTACAGGGTTTTGGGTTTGGGGGTCAGAACAAATAGCAGGGCTACTGATGGAGTTTCTCCATGTAGTTCTCGCACAATACACCCCAAACCCAGATTGCAATGCCCCTGTATTGGATCCAGCATATGGTTGTGCCTGCAGTTGCAAACCGGTCGTTCTAGCAGGGGAATCAACGGATGCTGCATGTCAGCGGTCCTTGGCTTGATGCATTTCGTAGGAGCGTGGGCAACAGAACAATAGACGTTGATGTACCGGCGGCGGAATGCTAGCTGAATCTGAGTCTTGTGTAGGGTATCGTCGTCCGCAAGGATGCCGGCACACATGTGCAGTTTGCCCCAGACCGTTCGTTCGTTGCTCTAGATGCAAAAGACCCCTAGCTAGGCGAGAGGCAAAACAGTCTTATGATTACCGAATAGAAGAGAAGAGCCGTCCCTAAACGAGAGGCCGTCCAGAAACTCAACACACAGGCTGCCCCTGAAGCCACACAACAACCGAAACCCCATTACTCGCAGCTGACAGGCCAAAAACCATAACCTAAACCCTGAACCCACTCGGGTGAATCGGCAGTACAGTCCAACGCGAACCAAGAACCTCGTTTGGCTTGTCCGAGTTGCGAGAGCGTAAACCCTGAACCCTAAACCTAACAGCTGCAAGGACTTCGCGGGAGCAGACCCACGGATGGAACTGCCCCTACCAGCTCACGCGGGTTCCCGAGGAGACCGTGGTTCTTCTGTCATCGGAAGAGCTTTTCGTTATTACAGTACGGGCCGTAATGGGTGGTTGTGAAGCTTCCCTTTGTGAGGGCCCTGAAAGTTGTGGCGCTGTGATCATGGACATTGTAGCTGGCGAACCAGGGCAGACGATAAGCTTGCAACCTTCTCAAGAAGAGGTCAGTGACAGTGACAGCAAGCGCTGTCCGCAAGAGGGATGAAAAGCAGCAGCGTCGCCGCTACCACACCACCAACAACAACATCTGGTAAGCATCAATCATTGTTTTTGTTCTTGTTTGTGTTTGCCCACAAATTGAAGGCCATGATTCCAACACTAGACCTAACAATAGCAGCCGTCTTCAAGTAGTCATGCAGTAGCTGTAGTAGTCGCCGTCGCGTTGGCACCAGAAGCAGGCGTAGGACTAGGAGTAGGCACAGCAGCTGCTGCAGCAGGAGCTGACGATATGGGACAGACCAACATTAAATTATGCAGAGCATGGCACCCAGACAAGAATGTCGCACACACCGGGGACACCAACATATAACGAAACCAAGTACTGGCCTTTCACCACAAACATTTTTGACAGCTTCATGATGTTCAGTTCTTGTGATCTTCGTTCCGCGCCAGAAGCATGACACATGCCTGCTCAAGTGTTATCGGTCGTGGGAGGAGCTGATCAAGGGAACCGGCGTCGTTTTTGATTCGGCAGCAGATTGCGACCTTTACGACCTGCATGTAGCCGCAGGCACGGGGTAAGAGCTTGACTCCGGCCTGGTGAGTGCAAGGCTTCCCAGGTGTTCAGCCATAGCCATGGCCAGTGAATGGGTAAAGAGTGAGACCAAAGTATGCTATAGGCGCCTAAATGATTACCTATACTATTTCGGGGGTTCCTTAATATCATCATAGTATAAAGGGCTATGTTATGTCGGTCTTAAAACAAAAGGGACCCAGCCCTGGGCAGGATACAAGTGGTTTCGCTTAGGACATCCCAGGACACAGCAGAAAGGTAGCTGGGCCCCGGTCGAGCTTGCAGACTTTAGCTCCGCAGCCTATGGCCCATTTTTCTGAATTAATCCTGAGCCTGAGAGATGTCCTGCTCTGGGCCATGCTCGGCCAAGCAAGCTTCCAAGAACATCCAGACCCTCGGCAAGCAAAGCCGCTGGCAGCAAGCCCTGGATGTGCTTCGTGGCCTCTCGAAGCAAGGCTCGCTGCCCAACGTGTTTACCTACTCAGCTGCGATTGGTGCTGCAGGGCGAGGCAAGCAGTGGAGGAGTGCTCTTGGCCTTCTCCTCTGTATGTGCCAGGAAGCCGTACTGCCGGATATGTTCATCTGGAGCGGCCTGCTTGCCACTTGTGAGCCCTTGGGCTGGGAGGGAAGTCTCCAACTCCTCAACTCAGCGGCCGCCGTCAGCACGGTAGTTTGTAACACAGCCATGAAGGGCTTCTCCAGGCATTGGCCGCTTAGTTTGGCCCTGGCAACGACCATGAGCAGCTCAACTCTCGAGCCGGACATCACCACTATGAACACCGCCCTCACGGCTCAAGTCAAAGAAGGCCGATGGCAGCAAGCAGTTGAGATGTTGCTGCTGTCACACACTGCCGGCGAAATTCCACCTGACATTGTTTCTGTGACTCTTGGCTTGCACGAGTTAGATGCCCAGTTATGCACGGTTGGTTTCGAACCCTGCTGTATCAGCAAGTTGTAGTGAAGTCTGTCGAAGAGGAATGCGCTTCTTGCGATTTGCCCGAATGATCTGGACTGGCGCTGGGCTTTGCATCTGCTGACTTGGGCGAAGACGTGGCTCCTGCAGCCGGACGTTCCTCGGCACCGTGATGCTCTTAAAGCAATAAGAGGAGTCCCTGCACCTGCAGTTACGTAAATCGTAGGTTAGCAAATGTTAGCAAGCCTATATTGTGTAACTCAATAGTATGCGATTTAGGTATGGGATGCTCGCTACTAAATATGTTGCTTCGAGGTCATCAGTTATTCCTCCAGCATCACTGCCGCAGCGAACGATGCCCGCTGGACACTGGCTTTGGCCCTTTTGCGGGAGGCCATGATGCAGCAGCTTGGCTCAAGTGATGTCGGTTGATTCTGGGCAGGCGTCTGTGGCCAGACGGTTTCGACCATGTGAGAGCAAGTCGTTTCCACCGGATTCTACAGTTTGCTTGCATTTTCCGCTTGGTGTTCTTTTTGTGGCCTATTCTTTCTTTAAATTTGTTGACCTACGATCGAAAGCATAAGTCATGCAAGCAGCCGAAACTTCAGGCACACCTTCCCACATGAACCCTAAACCCTTAGCCTCTCAGAGAGTCGAAGCCCTGAACAGGAAGGTGCTCCCCGACCTCGTCATGCTCAATGCCGCCATCTCCGCTTGCGTGAAGGGCTTCCAGTGGGAGCGTGCGCTCGGACTTCTGGGGGATGCTGAGCCCAATTACTTGTAGTTTCCACTGTAGGAGCAAGCAGAACAGGTACAGTAAAGCATGTGCTACCCGCGTATATGCGCAGAAGCGAATACACACTTCGATTGTGCATGTGTCCGTTTGCACGTGTTTTCTTTTCATGCGCCTTCAGCTCTTTGATTCAGCTTCGTGTGAGCCGGCATAGTGGTTTCTCCCAATTTTCTGCACCATTAAGTTATTAAGGGTTCCTAAGCCATGAGGAAGTCGATCGAGCGCACCTTGCACCCGATGTCATCAGCTTTGGAAGCTTGGCTGATCCAAATAAAAAACACGGGAATAAATACACAGTATGTAAATAGTGACAATAATGGTAGCAAGGATATTATTGTCTTCATCAGTACTTGTTTTGTAAATTTGAAAAGTGTTCGCAACCGCCTCAAGGCCCTGAGGCCCTAGTACCGAAGGCTCGCACAGCACGGCTTGAAGTAGTCCTTCTATCAATCCCTGAAATCACCTTCAACTTTCTGACAGTCCTTAAGGGGATCCTAAGCCCCATTAGCATGACCCTCAGGCCCTTTTTAAAGGGACCCTTAGCCCCTTTACAATACCTTATGGCAACTTCAGGGTCCTCCTCGCGTGAATCTGTCCGCAAGGAGCCGTGGCAACTGCCTGTGAGAAGGGCGGGCATTGGGAGGGCGCGTGGTCACTACTGGCGACCATGAGGTCACGAAGCATCACACCTGATACAGCTCCTTGGCTTTCAAGCAAAACATGTTGCGGTCCGGCTCTATCCTAGGTTCTCCGAAGAGAGCTCGGGGTGATCGTGGGGTCTGTTGAGCGTCATGTCATGTTGTTGCGACATATTTGCACCCGAAGCATGGAAGAAACTTGGAACAAGCGTTCATTCTCGAGCCTAGGTTGTCTGCAATGCCATCATCGGCGCTTTGGAGACACCAGGCCGCAACATCCCTGCATGGACTTGAACTGACATGAAGATCCTGAAGCGAGACTTCCTACTTTCTATGTCAAGCCCCGCCTGCTATGGCCGCGTTTAGGATGCCTTAATTGTTCAGGATCGTGAGTTAAGATTGACTGACAATGACAGAAATATTGGGAACAACAATGAAATCCTTGACATCCTTGTCACGATTATTATCACTACTACCACTTGTATTACCAGAAGTATTATCGTTCTTTATATTGTTATTGCCGTATTCTTACGATCAATGGTACATGTCTTGTTAGGGCCCCAGCTTGCCCAGGAAGGGGAGCTGCTGGAAGATGGCGCTGCAACTACTCAGCTCCATGAAGCACCAAGGGCCGACACCTGATATGGCCGCCCCAGCTCTCTTTGCCATAAATTCTGGTACCATCTGATACCCTAAACCCTAGACTCTTAGACCCAAAAAGACACGAGGGTTCCAAAAAAGATGCAAAGGACTCTTAGGCCCCAAACCCTTAAAGCAAAAAACAACTACTCCCTCAACCTCAAGTTAAGTCACCTTCGTCATTTTGACTACCTTTGGTTAGTAGGGAATGGAGGAATGGGGTACCATTATACCTACTATTACTACCATTCTATACTACCAAAGGTAAGTTTGAGGCATCCTTCCCTCGCCAGGTCTCGTATGTTGCGACCATGGCTGCCTGCGACAAGGCTCGCCTTGGCTGCGAGCTCCTAAAGTAGGCAGCTTAGTATTTGGGAGATTCCGAAAATAGGGGACCCTAAATAGTAGGATCCTTATTATAAGGATCCCAAACTAAGGTATCCCCAATTTTCGGAAACTCCCGTTTTGAATAGGGTTTTGGGTCGGATTGGGGGTGTAGTATAGTATGTTATAAACCATGTCAAGAAACCCTGGGGCAGCCTGTTACTGTTGTAATACTACTACTACTACTACTACTACTACTACTACTACTACTACTACTACTACTACTACTACTACTACTACTACTACTACTACTACTACTACTACTATTGAGGCTCCGGTGGTAAATTCCTCGACTTCGGAAGTGCTCTCCCCTCTGCAGCCCCGATTGTCCGGTCCCGCTATGTCCCGGTGTCATGATTTGGTGAGTGCTTCTTTGCGAGGATCCGGCTTATGGGGTTTAGGGTTTTAGGGTTTAGAGCCGGGCTTGACGTTTCGACTGAGTGAGAGAGAGAGAGAGAGAGAGATAGAGAGAGAGAGAGGGGGAGAGAGAGAGGGTTTCGAGTTTGATAGATTGCATGCTGACAGTGCTGATCCTTGCAGGTGTGAATGCTTGTACGTGTAGCTACCTTAGTGGGTAAGTGCCTGTTCAGGGTAGCCTGGTTCCAGAGTGATGCTGAAGGCCGAACAATGGGAGATCGCCTTGCTCTTGCTGGATGAGGTCCGGCAATCATCGCATGCTACATGGCATGCATTGGAGCATGAATTGAACTCAGCGTGGCTTTAACGCACGCCACTGGCTGCACAAACCCAGCGATGATGGTCATCTAACTTTTGCAGCAGTTCATGATCGAACATCCATCGGCTGTTGCAAGGGCAAGGACATGCAATGAATGTTAGCTTTGTGCAAAATCAGAGGTGCTCAGCTGCTAGGCATGATATTTGTGAAGCTCCCCTTTGTGGACGGTCTTGGTGTTGGGTCACTCGGCCCAGAATGCATCAACAACTGTCAGGTCTCAACTGTCCAGGTTGCCTTCAATATCTGCATCAGTGCATGTGAGAGGAGTCGGGAGGCCAAGACAGCTTTGGCGCTGCCTGGCTAAGGATTTTGTGGTTCGCTTATAGTTTAACTTAAGGAACTCGATTATAGTATAGCTAAAGGAACTCTAAGGCTCTAAGGATAGTCTTGGTGATTCTTCAGGTCTCCAGATGATATTTCAGCCCGGATTTGCACGTCCAAGAGCCTCCCTGGCCCCTGCCAGTGTCGACACCTTGAACTCGCTGCCCTCAACTATTCATCCCTGAACGACGGATTTGTATGTGGTATTCTTGTATGCATACATATGCAGGCGTGCACACAAACACACACGTATATGCATATATACATAGAAGTGTATATATATATATATATATATCTATGTATATTTATTTATTTACGTTGATAAATATCTGTATTTATTTATTGATACATAAGTACATATGTATATATATATATATGTACACATCAAGCTACACGTGTGTATGTGGGTGTACCTATACATATATACATATGTACTGATCTAGATATGCATGCATACATACACATTTATGTATAACTGTATGTATAGGTACCTGAAGAGTGTGAGACGGCATGCAACAAACAAACAACATCAATACATTGAACGCAATAAAGCACGAAACCATGGACCACCACAGCATACCTTTCCGTACGTGTATGTGTAAATGTATATAAACAGGCACAGGGCCAGGTTTGGGTATATGTATATCTAGATGCGCGTGCTTGTGTGTATATGTGCAGAGTCTTGTCTGTTTGTCTGTCTGTCTGTCTGTCTGTCTAGCATGTCTGTATGTAGACTTGTCACTTGTGCATGTGGACTTAGCACATGCACTTCTTATGTAACGCTGGGTTGCTGCGATTTGTGGGGATACCCGTCGAAGCCCCTAAGGCCCTTAACAAATCTATGGCCGTAGAAGACCTAAACTCATAAAACAGAAACCCTGGGTTGTTTGAAGCCTCTAAAACCCTAAAATCCTAAACGCCATAAACCCTAAACCCAAAAACAGAAACCCTAGGTTGTTTGACAAGATGTGCGACTCGGGCCTGCATCCGGATCGCCATAGCTTCTCGGCGACGGGATTTGAATTTTGTGTCCGAACCGAAGATTGGGGTTTGGCGCTTTGCAATACAATGTAAGATGACATAATCAACACAATGCATTATAGAGTACGATATAGAGGTGATACAGGATAACAGGATATGCCGCACATAGTGAAAGATATTAGACACAACATACCATACTATATAGCATAATAGCTGGCATAACATTCATTGGGGGATGCAATGTAATGTGTGTATTTGTACATCTTTATATATGTATACATGTATGTGTGTTTTATGTGTATACATATATATATATATATATATATATGTATGTTATGCAAACTTAAATACATACATACATACATGCATTTATTTATATTACGTTCATTCATTGCAGTATGAAATGTAGTATCTCCCAGGCTGCAGTACAACGCCTAAGCCAAGCTTCACCCTCGATCCTCCTCCAGTCTGTTCGACGGGGGTTTAGGGGTTAGGGCCTCCATGATTGTCAGCAGTCTTGCGCTATCAGCCTTCAATATACCCCCAAAGCCCTCTAATATAGACCTGCGGGCTTTGCCCGCTTACAGCGGAATCCATCAAGTAGACCTGAACCCTGAAGTCACCGCCATGCCTCTAAACCCTCGAGCAAAACTACAGTGGCAACATCTCAAGGAAAGTCTGCTTAGTATTGTGTAAAGCTTGCAGGGTGTGGGGTTGCGGGTGGTCTGCCGTTGTAGTGTTGACAAAAAATTGGGCCTCGCAGCTTCCCGTTGTCTTCGGGTTGAGGGAAGAGCTCAGTGTAGGAATGACGGGTTTAGCTTTGAGTGTGGCATGTTTCCGCAAGGTCCAATAGTGCTTGTTGCAGGTAGGACCAGAGTTGTAGTTACCGTCATGGTGGTGCGGTAATGCGCTGTAGATTCCAATGGAAGTGGTGGTGCTGGTGGTGATGATGATGACGATGGTGATACGTTCTTGCTGTCCCTCGGACTGCAAATCTCGTTGTTGACGTGCTGGCCATTGTCCAATCAGATCCGATATTCTAGCTAGCGCTGTTTGGGCTCTAGCTCTTTCAGGTCCTACAGTGACTGCTTTTTGGCAGCAGTTGCTGCCGTGTGTCTTCTTGTTCTTGTTCTTGTTCTTGTTGCTGCTGTTGCTGTTGCTGTCTAAGATTGCTTAATCCCTTCCCGCTAGTATTCAAATATGAAAACCTCCAATGTGTGGAAGGGATCGAACCCGAAGCTCCAAGCGGGCACCAGGTTTCAACTCGGCACTTCGCGCCTGCCAAGTGGCTGGGGCCTGGCGGAGGGCCCTGCGTCTGCTGCTGAGTGCCGAGGCGCCAGGGTTTAGAGTTTAGAGTTTAGGGTTTAGGGTTTAAGGCTGATGCTAGGAGCCCAGCTGCAAAGTGTTTCAGGTTTTAGGATTTAGGGTTTAGGTTCTCTGGGGTTCAGGGTTTAAGGTGTAGCTTCGTCTCTACAGCTATATAGGGTTAACGGCCGCGGCCACGGGTTATGGTGACAGGGTTGTATACATGGGTAGATAGGGTCGTATAATGTCATGTAGAGAGTTAACCTTAAATCCGAGAACCATTTGCCTCGCCTGGGGCTCCAGGTGTTGTGATGTGGAATTAGTGTAAGTGAAAGGGCATGCCAAGACTTCCAAACAAGCCTGAACCGCGCTGTTCTTGTTGGCTTGTCGCTGTGTGCGCTTCTCAGGTTTTGGCAGCTAAGGTCAGCGCCAGCACGGGCTGTTACTGTGAGTGCGACACAGCAGTGCCAGAAAGTGTCGTGGCAACACGTGCCTTTGTTCGCATACACCGGCTTGAATCTCGTTCGTAATGTGTATGCTGGGCAGGCGTGCCCCGTGCTACCTAGAAGTAAAAAAGTACTCAAATTTCGTTGTGCACATGCTTGTTCTTGGTTCATACGTTCGAACAGCGTAAACCCGCCTAAATACTAAACCCCAGACTAGCACACCCGAAAGACCTGCGCCAAACGCGAAATGTTGCAGGATGGCTTGGGCCAGGACCTGACGGGAATTGCAGCCGTGGCTGGGGCCGCCTGGCTCTGTGAACGAGAGATTCACGGTTCGAGAGGGCTTTGGTTTACATGCTTGTATCAGCGCATGCGGCATGATATGCACATGTGCATATGTGCTTGGCTCAAGCTTTCTCTTCAAGCCTTCGCTTGACCTTTTACTGTAATTCTTCTTGCGCCATGGAGAGCAAGATGGACAAGCTCCGCAAAAAGTACCCTGAGCATGTGCCGGTGATTTGTATGCACAGCAGGGATGCCCAGAAGCATCAAAAGCTCATCGTGCCCTTCCAGACAACAGGCACTACGTTCCAGACGATTGCGCGTGAAAAGTGCCCGTGGGCCATGCAAGGCGGCAAAGTCTTGCTACTTTGTCATAGTTGGGTAACATTTTAGATGTTTATGGGTACGTAAGCCCAATAAGGAATAAACATGTAATTTTTTTTAACCTGTCCCAACAATGAACTAGGCTATGCAACAAGGGCAAGGTCACCGATACCATGGAGGTGCCTGCACAGAAGACCCTGCAACAGCTGGATTCTGAGTACAGGGCACCAGATGGAGGGGTCTATTTCACGGTGGAAGCCGCGAAGGATGATGTGCAGGAAGCACCAAAAGTTCAGGAAGCACCAAAGGGGCCGCAAGAGTTCAAGATGGACGAGAACGTCCCCAAGGACGAGAATGTCCAGCAACAGGAGAATGTTCAGGAGAAGAAAAAGAAAGCAAAGGCCAAGGCCAAGGAGGGGTCAGAGGATCCCAAGGAAGACGACATCGTTGAAAGAGCCAGGCGAATTCGCAAGAAGCACCCCGACCGTGTTCCAGTTCTCATCAATCAAGCAGCAGTGCCAGGATTGCCCGCACTTGACAAGAAGCTTTTGATTCCTGATACCATGACTTGCAGAGACTTGAAAAAGATTCTTCCGAAACACATAGGCCTCGCAGACTTGGACCTGGACTGGAGCAAAGTGATCCTCCAGCTGGCTGGCCAGGCCATTGGGGAGGACATCGAGGAGCACGAGCTTGTGTCAGCCGTCTACACTCGGTGCGTCGGCTCGGACGACGAAGGAATCATGCTCTCTTTGGAGCTACGGGACCATCATCTTCCAGAGCTGCATGCAGTGCATTCAGGTGCTGGCGAAACGGCAACCGAGACCCTCAGCTTCTCACCACCTTCGGCGGAGGAGCTACGAGTTTTGGAGCTCCAGCTGCAGGAAGTCAACGCTGCTTTCGAGGAGGCCAAGAAGTCGCAGCAGCTCTCCGCAGCCAAATTGGCCGAACAGGAAGAGCGTGCATGGGCAGCAGAAGAGAAGGCGCTGAAAGCCGACCAGGAGCTTGCGATGCCGTTTTCAATATCTGAACAGCCCAAAATCCCCCATGGAAGCCCATAGTTATATCCCCAAAATAACGGGTGTAAGGGTACGACCAGGAGCTTGCGATGCGATGCCAAGTGCAACGACAGGAAGCAGAGGCTTTCCAGAATCAGGTTTCGCAGGCACAAGGGAACCCGAAAAGGGCCTGCCTTACTAACTGGAAGAGGGTTCCTTTAGAGGGTTCTTACAAAGGGTCTATAAGAGTTATTATCAGGGATACCGTAAGGGTTTAGTATAGGAGCCTTAATTAGAATAGGCTTTGGTGGTATATTCTACTATAACTATAATAAGAAACCCCGAAAACTCCGCAAACTCAATCGGCCCTAAAGCCCTAAGCCTCGTGAAACCCTGCTTTTCCAAAACCTCAACCCCTTATCCAAGCTGCGAGACTAAACACTACATCCGAGCTAAGCCCCATGCAAACCCTACTTGTTTGATCATGGAGCTTAGTATAAGGTTGTCATGTACCCTACTCGGAGTAATTGGTAGGTATATAAGCAAGTATCCTAAGCCCTAAACCTTAAACCCCTCAGAGACCTCGTCAGGCATGTCCGAGTTGCGAGAGCTTAAACCGCCACCCCTAAGATCCCGGGAGGCCCAGGAGGCTCGCGAAGCTTTGGAGGCGCAGGTGATCAGCGGAAAGGAGGGGGTGTCCGGAAATTAGGACTTGAGAGAAATCCCTTGTTTTACTTGAAGGCATACGGGAGTATCGGAAAAAGGTTACCGCACTCAGGGCCCTTACTCATGGCAGCGGTATAAATGCTGTTGCTACAAGATGTTCTTACGATCACAACCATCTGTTTCTAGCTTTTTTGTCTGCAGTGTTCGATATGGGGATTTCCGAAAAAGTGGACCCTCATACAGTACCCTGAATAGTAGGCTGCTTTTTATTGAGGACCCCCAAAGTAAGGTACCCGTCACTTTGGCAAACTCCCATATGACCCCTATGTCGTGAACCTCGCAGGACGAGATCGAGGCTCTGCATCGGCGTGTGCAGTCCTTGGAGGCCGACCTTCAGAGCGCCCTTCTGAGCTGCAAGCGGGATGCCGGCATCATCGGGGAGCTGCATTTGAGTATGAAGGAGTCGGAGGACGCTTTGATGCTTGAGGCACAAAAAAACAGTGCTGCAGAGGTGAAGCTTATCAAGCTTCAACAGAAGGTGCAGGAAGCAGCTGACCAGGAAGTCAGATCTATGAAGATGTATGCCGACCGAGAAAAGGACTATCAGGACAAAATCCGCGAGCTTGAAGATTCCCTTCGCAAAGTGTCCAAGAAGCTTGTCGAAGTTGAAGAGGAAAAAACACTAGTTGCAAGAGAGGCCGAGAGCCAGCAGAACCCTGATGAAGAAGTGAAGAAGTATAAGGACGCAGTCGTCATCTTAAAGGACGCGCTTTCCAGTAAAGAGGAAGCGATCAGCGAAAAAGATGCCCAAATCGAGAAAACGAAGGTGGTCCTCAAGGAAGTTGAGGCAGAGAACCGACGCTTGCAGTGCGAGCTCGAGACGGCAGGAAAGGAAAAGATCAAGCTTGAGAAGCTCAATCTTCGTCTCCAAGATGAGGTCGGCTTGCTGAAGGCTTCTGAGGCTCCAAAGGAGCCTAAGGCTGAGGAGGAAGATTTCGTGAAACTCGGCTGGGACAGTGAAGGTAAAGTGGAAGAGGTCACAGACTTCGGCTTCCAGAAGGTGGACAGTGCTTGAGCATCAGTTCACCCCCCCGAAATGGAAAGACGGCGGCAGTGATGCTTCGTACGTTTGTAAGGTGTGATATTGTGCTTCAATATTTGTATCCTAGTTTCGTTTTTGTTAGCACCTTTGAGTGCCTTAGCGGCAGGCACATCGCCGTTGCTGGTAGCCGGGTGACTGTGTGCAGTTCCTCTCCCCTCTGCCAGCACCGTGTTCAAAGCATCGCGCTCGGCTTGGGCGGCCTTCTGCGAGTTCCGTGAACTCATGACGAAGTCCACGGCCTTGTCACCTGTCCAATACAGAAGCCTACTGCCGCCCAAATTCCGGGAAGCTGATCTGATGCAGAACTTTCAATTCCTCAAGTTGCATGTGGCCAGCTTAGAGCTGCGGTCTCTTCTGCCGACATGATTGAGAATCCACAGTCACGTGCTAGCTTACCTGCTGTGTCTTACATAGGACAGAGGCTGTTGTTTCATTTGCAAAGAGCTCGGGCGATGTTCAAAGGCCCTGTGGCTGTAATCCTGGGTGAGTGTCTTTCTCGCACTTTGCCCGCATCAACTACCTCGAAATGACTTTGAAATCTACGTGGTGCAAACATTGGTGCTGCTCGCAGAAGCAGCCACCTGCCAAGAGGCTGGTACAGGTACCTCTGGCTCCGCACGGGAAAAGAAACTCTTGCAATCATGGGGAGCCGTGTGACGACCCTGCATGCCGCCGCTGTCAGTTAGTCAGTTACTGCAAGATGCCGACTGTCGCGAATCCTGTCATGTGCTGCTTTGCTACGTATCACGAGCGGAGTCTTGCGTACATGTGCCGCCAGCAGAATTGCACGCATGGGTAGTGCTTGTATCGACACCTGATTCCTTTCTCCTGGCGCTCAGGCGTGCTCCGGGCGCGGCCAGTCGTCATACATCCCGCAGCTTTTGCAGTGCGCAGATGCGGCTGCGGTGCGGTGGTCAAAGGAAGAGCTTCTGCTGGACTTGCGGGTTGGGATTATCTCATGTTGCATAGGTGCTTGGATGGTTTTCGTGTTGGAGCTTGAGGGCGTCTGTCCACAGCTTAAGCCTGTGACCTTTGAGATTCATTCCGAGTTAAATCCTTGTTCAGCTTTTGCCCGGTCTTTAAGCAGCGGTCCTGCCGCGATGTTTTTTTTCTCTCCGAAGCCCTTAATCCCCAAGCTTTCCGATATTTCCAGATTCAGGCTCGAGCCTCTCAAATTCATCCAGTTATTCAGACAGTGTCACAGATCCTTTGCAATCTCAAGACTGTTTCCTGGGCCACTCAGGCATTTGCGGCATCGGAACAGCTCTTGGATGAGTGACCTGCTTTCGGCGGGTGGGAAGAACTCAGCCTTTTTGAGAGGGGGAGCGTTCCAGACATGCGAGTATGTTTCCTGGCTTGAGGCATGAGGCTGCCTGCGGCATGAATGTTTGGCCACAGCCCAGTCGCAGCTTTGGAACTGAAGTCATGACCGCAAACCTTTGTTGAAACCGTCTGACTAAGTACCATGTGCAGGCAGCCCGCTTTACAGCGTCTGATTTCCCGCAGGAGCAGAGAATATGATATGGAAAAAGCGCCTGCCTCCCACTTGTCTTGTGATGTATTATGGAAAGGACTACTGCTATTGCACTGCGGCCGCTATCAATAATAATTGTTGTCCACAGGCTACCACCGCCACCATCATCACTACATTCACTGCTGTTGCTGCGACTTCCAAAACATTTACAACAGAGACAACGTTACCTCTTCAAGTACGACCAACTAAGCACAAATACTTATGCTTATCAAACGCTCATGGGGTCGGGTTGCTTTTTTTGCTCTCCCGTTTATGATTAATTACCAGTCCTGGTTTCGATCATCATCATCATCATCCTTCTTGTTGCTGTTGCCCGAACTTTTCGCATTCTCATGCTGGCTCTCGCTACTAACTGGTGGATGCGGGTTGGGCAGGATGTGAGTGGAAGGATGCATGTCGTGTGCAATTATCAGCATAGGCTTCGTCAAAAGCCTTGCGGCTTGTCCGTTGGCCGCAGCCACCTAGGACGGGATGTTTTAGGCCGTTAGGCCCCATCAGGAATTGAAGTTTGGGGCAGAAGCTGCGACAACGTACAGTGCTGGAAAGGTAGGATCCCGCATGGTTGACTGTAGAAGTTGCAGCATGTGACGTGGGGTGTGTTCCAATTAGAATCTTTGGGATCCTTTCGAACAAATTTCGATAGTTCCGTTCTGCAGACTTCCTGCAGGCGATTTGCTGCTTCTGTTCACAGACGGGCTCACAGACAACCTTCACTGGCACGAGGTGTGGTTCTCCGCGCTCGATAGAGATGCAAACAGGTTTCGATTTCTTTTCACAGAGCATGAAGGGATTGCTTGTTAAATCTTGCATTGCATATCCTAGTTAGCAGCATCAGACTCGTCCCTGCTATGTTCTCATCAGTGGTCAGTCTGCAGCTATCACCTATTCTGCCTGAGGATTCGGATTGGATGGTGTTACTTAGGCTCAGAAACCTACAAGCACAGCAGTAGCATTCCTTGCTGCATGAAGCCGCAAGTCGAGGTGGTGCGAAAGGTGGATGAGGTCCTGGAGCGGAAACTAGGCCCAGCGCTGCATGCATTCAGTGCCCTTCCTTAGTTGTTGTTTCTGTGGTGCTTTTGGGTTACTAAGCCTACTGCAATGATCCTCTAAGAGAAGGCTTATGTTTGTTGGTTTGGTGTTGGCGGCTGCACGACGCACTTAATGGGGCAAAGGTTTGTCTAGCCCGGAGCCGGCGTCTGAAATCCATATTGCAGGCTTATGAGGTTATTTTGTGGAAAGACTGTTTTCACCCCAGAAGATCATGTTGTCGATTCTTCATCACGTAGGTCAACCTTTTGAACATCACGTACAGTTTCATAGTATCAGTATCATATGTCTTTATCATTTTTACGTATCAGTTATTCAGCACGCGTAAGGGCACGCCGCAGTGGCAACGGCACACAGAGTTGTCGAAGTTCTTCGATGGTTCTAGCACAATATACCTCAAAGCTGTGCTCGGATTTCCTAGACCTTTGTCAACCCCTAAACCATAACCCGAACACAGAGACCTCGTCTGGCTTGTCCGAGTTTCGCGAGCGTAAACCCTAAACCGTAAACCCAAACGATGCTGCAAGAGTCGGTCCGCTGTCCCTGTGAAGGCCAGGGCGGGCATGTACCTCCTGAAGATGCTGCTGGGCCAAGAACTTCGGGCTAAGGGTTCAGGGTTGCGCTAGTTATTGTATTATAGCTCTATCACTATAATAATACTACTGTATACTAGAACTATACTTTTCTATACTATACGAGAAGACGGATTCCACAACATCCCCGTGCCTTCAAGGATCTTGTGCAATTCGGAAACTTGTAGCGGCGAGCACAACACGAGAGGATATGAAGCGCTACATCGTTGATAAGTGGCGATAAGGTGACCTCTGACTCTGACGACGACGACAGCGGCGGCGACGACAACGACGACTACTACTTGTACTGATATTACCACCACCACCACCACCACCACCACCACCACCACCACCACCACCACGACTGCTACACCCGCTTCCCTTGCGTCCACGGCCGCAGCTACTACCACTGCTACTAATATCAAAGCTGGGTTTTTCAGGTTGAGTAGCACCAACACGCCTGCTACTTCTTCTAGCTCTGTCCCTACATCGAGACAGATGGTGACTAATTGTCATAGTGTTGCAAGCCGACTGTTGCAGTTGCCCCGCGACGAGGGGAAATCAATCCTAGCTCTCGTAACTAGTGTCAGAAATCTCATACAGTTTCTGTTTCTACTCTTTCCGTCGTGCGAGTTTCTACAACTTTCCAGCAAATTGAACTCTGGTGCAGCCTGTGCCTGACCACGGGAAGGAGTTAAGATTATCAGTGAACCACAGCCGCCAAGGTTGCACAAGCCTTAGCCGCAATGGCCGAAGTGCGCTCCCATGATACGCAGGCTGAGAGCATAGAAACGGCTTCAGGTTGGAGGCTCAGGAAGCCCCACATATTCCCTGGTACCGGCCACACAATTTACTAACCTTTGATATTGGAGGAGCTACGGAGCCAGGGATGATGATAATCCCTATTGAATAAGGAGCTAAAGAGCCAAGGGAACCCCAAAACCACTGGTTAGTTTACTTTCCCCGTGTTTCTGTGACCTTGCTGATCGCATGACAGCTCAGCTTCTAGCTCCCATGCCCGGCACCGGACTGACTACTGATAGATGTTATGTCTTGGGTACGGCCCCCATACAGTAACAGTCTATAATAGGGCTATTATTAAGGGCCTTTTATATCTATATTATGAATATTATCCAACTGTTACTGAGTGGGGGCCGTACCCAAGTTATGTCGCACTTGGGATTTGCTGATTAGTCCAGAAGTGCACTAAAACCGGTGTGGTGTTCGTAGCCCCTGATCCTGTAAGTACCTGCGTTTCCCTTAATAGTGCAAACGACCTCCGAATACGTGGGTGGTTCTCAAAATTATGGTCCCCTTTCCGGTACCCTAAATCCTAAATATCAGGTGCCGTACTAAATTAGGGACCCAAAAAGGGACCCTAATTTTGACAACCACCCATGTGGATCGCAGTCATTGGCAATAGATGCCCTTTGTCAAGCTTGAAGGTTGCGCAGAACCCACCGAATCCAAAAGCTTTTCGGCGGCTTCAGAAATTCCGCATGCTGTCAGCCTTGGGGTAAGAGCCATAATGAGCAGCAATAGCCCTTAAACCAACTCAACCCCTCAATCCCAAACCTTGTCAACAAAAGATATGGAACCGCCTCGATGCTTCTAGGATTTCAGGCTTAGGTTGGTTAGGACGACGCCGGCTCCCGTCAGGCCAACACTCCTTTTGCGCAATCGGCTCGCAGAAACAGGCACGATCCGGCAGTTTCGGAAGTGACCTTTATGGGCAGTTCTGAGTATTTTGCTATAGATTCGTGGTCAGCACCCCTAAAAAAGGGACCCGAAAAGGCATCCAAAGTCCCAGCGGTGAATGC